AAAAAGAAAAAAAGAAAAAAAAAGAAAATCATAAGGAAGAGAAAATACATTTACAGTACTGTGCTGTATTTATGAAAAAAAAAATCTGTGTAGGGCACCTGGGTGGCTCAGTTGGTTAAGCGTCCACGACTTCAGCTCAGGTCATGATCTCATGGTTTGAGAGTTTGAGCCCTGCCTCGGGCTTTGTGCTGACGGCTCAGAGCCTGAAGCCTGCTTTGGATTCTGTGTCTCCCTCTCTCTCTGCCCCTCCCCCACTCGTGCTCTGTCTGTCTCTCTCAAAAATAAGAAATAAAACATTTAAAAAAACTTTTAAAAATATCACCCCCTAGTAAATTTGTCCATAATTTCTTTAGCTGGAGTTTGTATATTTTTCTGCTTTCTCACCCGTGTAAGTAATACTGCATTGAACAGCTTTAAGTTTTAATTTGTTTGAGTAATCTCTTCACCCAGCGTGGGCCCTGAACTCACGACCACAAAATCAGGAGTCGCGTGCTCTTTCGACAGAGCCAGCCAGGCGCCCCGAACATCATTGTATGTTCACCTCTATTGTGCCTCTGATCAGTCTCTTCAGGAAGATTCCAAGGAGGGAGAGCAGAGAAGAGGAGTGCTAGCTGTTAAAGGCAGTTGGTAGGTCCTGCCAACTGGCCTTCCCACATTCCAGAAAGGTTGTACCAACTGACACGCCCCCCTGGCAGTGGGGCACCTGGTCCACAGCTCGCTGGCAAGCTCAGAATTATTATTCCAAATCACTAAAACATTTACCAATTGAAGACATCCCCAATGGATATCACCGCTCTGTTTGATTATGAATATCTCTGGTTTGGTTTTTTTCCTTCTGTGCATTGTTCATTTGCCTCCTTGGCCCTTTGTCTGTCATGGAGTTTTTTTCTTATCCATTCCGGGTGCTTGTGAGGATTACCATGACTTAATGCTTGTGAAGAGCCGGAACAGCACAAAGAAAGCATCTCGCCCCGCTGGGGAGGCTGCCCCCCCACTGCCTGGGTCAAGTTCTGGTTCTGGGGCTTGCTGGCTGGGTCACCTACCCTTAGCATGCCTCTGTGTAAGGGGTTATTATGAGGCTGGCAGGAGCTACTGCATGCAAGGTGCTCAGAGCTACTTCCCTCCCATACGGAGCCTTCACCAAATGCCACCATTATTTGTATATTAAGGAAATCAGCCTTTTGTTCTATGTGTTGCCAATCACTTCTTTTCAAATCTGAAAGCGTTTTGGCATATCACCGGGCAGCCTCCAGCGAGGGAAGGGGGGTAAGGAGCCGAGGAGTTTCGTGTTCACTGAGCAATGTCTTGGAAGGAATGTCTACTACTTGAAAACATTCTCAGAGCCATAAAGATAGGCCGGTTGGCCCGAAACCAAAACCCAAATTAGTCCCAAGGAAGATTTCACAACTTCCTCTGAGAGATATGTCCCAGTATCCCAGGCTTGGGCCAGAGAGTCCTGCTCAAAGGCTACCCCAGTTTTTCCCTGCTCCCTCGGCTTCTCTCCACCCTCCTCAGGTGGAGGCAGCAAGGACTTTACCCCCAAAGAGAGCTCTCCCAGGGTTTGGCAGGTGGGACTCACCTCAGAGTCAGGTGAGGCCCCAAGAGGGCGCGACCAGGCCCTCTCTGTTTCAGCTCACACCCTGTTTCCATTCCCTTCCTGTGACTCAATAGGGGAGGGGCCCTGGGGCCACTCACCTTGCCTTCTCAACCTGCCCCCCATTCCTGGATTCCCGGGGGTCTCTCTGGTCTGTGGGGGGGGGGACCGGGGCCGCCGGGGCCAGAAGCGGACACCTAAGCTGGGGTGGCTTGAAGACGCCACACCCACTCTGACCGCCCAGCTGGAGTCTTTCCCCTCCTGGACTCCGAACACCGCCTGGAACTTGAAGTTGTCTCTTGGCCCTACCTCTTCCCCCATCACCTTATCTCCAGGGTGACTGTCCTGTTGGCATGAAGACAACTGTACCCACTGCCTCACGCGGACCTCTACTCCCCTCGCTTGAAAGCCAGCCAGCGGGGCAGCGTCTTACAAACTCTCCCCACGTGTGAGGCCCCTGCTGGGAGGGTGTCGCGCTGTCATGGGAGACAGCATTTCTTACACCGCTGCTGCGTGCCGAGCCGGGGACCCCCAGCCTCCAAGAGTTGACGCCAGCAGAATGCCATCAACCTCAGTGCCCAGCCTAGTACAACCCCACACCTGAGGCCTTCTGGGTCACAGCACCCAGGCCTGTGGCCTGGCTTGGCCCCAGCGGACGGGACTGACCCACTCCTGGCTCAGCTGGGAGAACAGCTCCCTCGGCTGGGAGGACCCAGTCCTGCTGGGACCTGGGCCCCAAGTAATGGCTGCACAGCAGCCCCAGGGACGGACAGAGGAAAACACCTTGCCCTTCGACAGTTTGGAGTAGTCGGAAGTCATGGGAAGGGGCCAGGCCACCCGGGAGAAAGAAGAGCTTATGTCCACCCTGGGATGCTATTGCCTTCTGTAAAAACTGGATATAAAAGTTCTCCACCAGCCGACTTGCTAAAGTGCGATGTGGCCATGCCGTGGGATACGACACAGCAAAGAAAAAGAGCAGACTCCTCTTGCATGCACCTATGTAGACTCATCTCACAGAGTTGGGCTAGAGGATGCAGACACAGCTGCATGGTCCCCCTGAAGTTCAAGAACAGGGAGAACTAATCAGTGGAGCTGGGATCAGAGCAACTTTCCCTGGGAGTCTCCCTGGGTCGACTGTAAAGGGCTCTATTGCTACCTAGAATATGGCTGATGGGTTGTACAGCTAAGTGGCTGTGCTTTGCTGTGAGTTACACAAGAAGAGAAAGGAAGGATGTGGAAGCCGTTAGAGCCCAGCGCTGCCAATCTTTGAGCATCACTCGCCAGCCCTCCTGTAGCCCCGGAGATTGGAGCTAGAGCGATCAAGGAATAAAACAGATTGCTGGCTCCAGCCCAGTTTCGGAGTCAGCTGGTCTGGGGTGGGGCCCAGGAATTTGCATTCCGGCCACTTCCATCTGTCCATCCCCAGGCTCCTGCGAACTGCTGGTCTGTGTGTGAGAATAGAAGGTGCTGCAGCAGGTGCTACAGGGGCCCCCCCAGCAAGTTGGGAAGGATCCAGGCAAATTCAGGGGGAGGTGTCCTCGGGGGGATAAATAACCTCTGAAAATGCTAACCAAGCAGGAGGTGGGGGTTCCAGGCAGGGAAATAGGTGGGAGCAAAGCAAGGAGGAAGGCAGCATTCCAGTCCCCAGGGGTGCAGGCTGGGTGGAGGGGACATGTAGCCTCTGCTTGGTTTTTTTTTTTTTGGTTTTGAGTGATGAATCTTGAAAATAGGAGGAAGGGCACAACTCCTCTGGAATTCCCACCGCCCAGCCTTCCCAGTACCGTGGGTTTATGTTCCAATGGCCATCCACCTGTGATAACCCCATGAGTGCCCCGTGGAGGGCAGAGGGGGGCCAGGCTGAGTAACAGCAGATGTCATTTCACTGTTGGGCACCAGGCGACCTCAGCCATGTGCACTGAGAGGCCATGCTGGCTCACGCACTGGGCGGAGAGGACCCAGCGCTGTCTGTGACCTGCGGGGGCTGGGGAGGCGGGCGGGGCAGAGAGGCTGGGGCTGAGTGGGGAGTGCCTGCCTCAGTTGGCAGATGAGAAGGTGGGCGTGTCATGAAGGACCCACCCTTGACTACCTTCCCTACAGGCCTAACTTCCTTGCTCTCGGCACTTCCACAGGACTGCTCTTTCCAGTTTCATCTTAGAGCTATCATGCCAGATGCCATGTCATACCTGTTGTCCAGTAATTCCACTTCTAGGTGTGCGTGTGCGTGTGTGTGTGGGCACGCACATGTGTGTGTAAGATTTAAAAGAATTAAAAAAGAAAGAATTAAAAGCAGGGACTTGAATAGATGTCTCTATACCCAAGTTTATAACAGCATTATTCACAATAGCCAAAGATAGAAGCAGTCTGAGTGTCATGGATGAAAGACAAAATGTGGTCTATACATGCAACGGAATATATTCAGCTTCAAAAAGGAAGGAAATTCTGGGGTGCCAGGCTGACTCAGACTGTGGAGCATGTATTTCTTGATCTCAGGTTTGTGGGTTTGAGTCCCACATCAGTATAGAGATTATTTAAAAAAAAAATCTTGAAGGGGCACCTGGGTGGCTCAGTTGGTTAAGCTTCCAACTTTGGCTCAGGTCATGGCCTCACGATGTGTGAGTTTGAGCCCTGCATTGGGCTCTCTTGCTGTCTGTGCGGAGTCGGCTTCGGATTCTCTCTCTCTGTCTCTGCCCCTCTCCCGCTCATGCTCTCCTTCTCTCTAAAAAATAAATAAACATTAAAAAATTTTTTTAATAAATAAATGCATTCTTTAAAAAAGAAAATAAAAGAAGGAAACTCTGACACCTGCTCCAATACAGATGAACCTTGAGGACATCATGCCAAGAGAAATAAGCTGGACAGAGAAGAACAGATACCACATGATCCCACTCACATGAGCCGCCCAGGGTGGTCACACTCACAGAGACAGAAAGCAGGGGCTGGAGTTGGGGGGGCAGGGGAGTCAGTGCTGGTGGAGGAGTTTCTGTTTGGGAAGATGGAAAAGTTCTCGAGCTAGATGACGACTGAGACGGTTGCTCAGTAGTGCTACTGTGCTAAAAGCCACTGAACTATACACTTGAAACGGTAAAAATGGTAAATTTTATGTTATGTATATTTTACCAGTGGAAAAGTCATTGTGTACCCCACCCTGCCTGCCCCAACTAAGCTTCTGTGCTGAGGGCTGGGGCTTGTGGGCTGATTCCATCTTTTCCAGGCACTATTTGTCCGCCAGAGTTCTCGTGTGGACAAAAAGAATGGACCTGGCATTTAGGATACAGGTTTGGTTGCAGGTAACCACAGTGAAATCCACATACAGTCTGGAGGCAGGCAGTGCAGGGCTGGCATAGTGACTCTGCCTGGTGTGGTCCTTCAGGAACCCAGGCTCTTCTCTGGTCATCCCGAGGGGCGTTTCTTTTGCCTATGGCTCAAGGAGGTTTACCGCCATGTCCTTGGCTACAGGGGGAAGAAAGAGAAGAGAGACTCGTTTCCTTCCTTTAAAAGACACTGTCATTTGGGGGCGCCTTGGGGGCTCAGTAGTTTCAGCGTCTGACTTGGGCTCAAGTCATCATCTCATGGTTTGTGAGTTCAAGCCCTGCATCAGGCTTTCTGTTGTCAGCGCAGAGCCTGCTTCAGATCCTGTCTCCCTCTCTCTCTCTGTCTCAAAAATAAACAAACGTTAAAAAAAAAAAAAAAGACACTGTCACTGGGTCTCTGTCCTGGGAATTGCTGCTTGGTGGATGGGCTGTCCCCTACATGCCCCGACAGGATGTCAGCTGTGTGCCACCTTGCCCGGCAGCCCTGGAGCTGTGCTGCTCCAGTCGCCCCTCCAGAGAGAAGCTGTCACAGGAAGCGCTGACAAACCACCAGCTGGGGCACCTTTAGGAACCTCCTCCCCAGCTGGTTTGGATCTGGAGGACCAGCAGGCTGGCCAGGCTACCCGCTGAGCCTCCCGCCTGCCTCCTTTTGCGGGCTGGTGTCTCTCCCTTCCTGCTCACACTCCCTCTCCCTGCTTCTTACAGGCAGTCCACCGCACACATCTCTCACATTTTCAACTCCCACTCCACTCGATGCCGTCTCCGACGACCAGAACGGACACCATTGCTCCAGACCACATCCCCAGCACATAGAAGGTTGCCTCGCACACAAGGAGGCACTCCACGAAATCGCCTAGATGACCAAGAAAATACAGCGGGTATTCAGTAAATGTGTGTTGACTTGAGCAGACTTCAAAGCAGCTCAGAACCAGTCATCGGCCCAGCTCACCTGAGAGTGGAGTCCCCTGTCACATTCGCCTGAGCCCTTTGCCAACGAAAACAGGAATGGAGAGTTAGAACCAGACCTGCTGCAGCCGCAGGGGCCCCCTTCCTGCCATCTGCAGGGTGGGGGCTTCCTGAGCCCGTGGAGGGCACGGGGGGACACATCCGCTCCCGGCCAGGCAGGCCTCCCTGGCATGGACATCCTGTGAGTCCCAGGCCAGGGGGCCGGGAATGACAAAGAGGCTGCCAGAGCTGGTGTCCCGGGATGCGGGCCCAGGGCAGACGTGGCCCCCCGGAAGCCCACTGGGCTGCAGTGTTGGCAGCGACTCGTTTTTCCCTTCCTGCAGCTCTGCCTGGGGAGGTGTTTTCAAAGCTGTTCGTGTCCCCCACTCTCCCTGCTGCTGGCCAGGAGGCAAGGGCAGCAGCCTCCTAATGACCTGTTTGTTTATAAAAGAGCCACAGACTCTGCTATAGCAGCGTGCATTGTGTCCTTCTCTGGACTTCTGGTCTGTGGGGGCTATGATGGCATGTGACCAGCTCGGCGTGCAGGCGATGTGCTTCATGAGGCTCGATAAGGGGAGTGGATGGGCCAGCGAGAAGCTGCAAGTGGCTCAAGCCACAGGGACAGACACGAAGGAGCTTGGTCTGAGAAGGCAAGAAGGAGGCACCAGCAGGAGCAGACCTGGGGGAAACTGCAGATGATTATAGGTCATTCCAGAATCCTCTGGATGACTGGATGGTTCCCTCCAGGTAGAAGTCATGACATTGTATGCTGACCCTGGGGCTGAGCTGGGAGCATGCCCCACTTGGCAAAGGATGGTGATAAGCAGCTGTGTTGACTGTACTTAAGAAAGGTGTTGCTGTCAGATCAGAGAAGTATGACCGGGCTACATTCCTGAGGCTCCAGAAAGGAGGAAAGTGAGAGGTGGACCTCAAGGCATGTCAGGGAAGTGGATGGGGACAGTGGAGGTGGGGGTCTGAGATGGGGTCACAAGCAAGGCAAGGGGTACTGGAGTTTGCTCTTGCAGGGACAGTGGTAGAAGGATGGCCACCTGGTTTTAAAAGGACCAGAAAGTCTGGGACTAAGGGACAGTCAAATCTAGAGCGAATGGCAGGTCAGTCTGAAGAGGGAGGCCAAGGACTGGAACTTAGGAGGGAATTCCTACCATAGAAACCAGAAATGACAAAGGAGAAGAATGAAAAATCCGACCACACGGACACGAAAACCTTCCAAATACGGACACCAGACAAAACAAACACACAACCACCCCCCCCCCCCCGCAACGGGGCTGAAAGTAAAATGATGAACTGAGGAAATATTTGTAATCTATCGACCACGACAAAGGGTTCAAATCCATTATGTAAACAGATCTTACAGATCAGTAAGAAAAAAGCAAACAAAGAGCGATTTGGAAAAGGACAAGCAGGCCACACACGCAGAGGTGCCCACAGGCATCCAGCATAACGCCCAACACGGAATCCAGAATGGAAGAGGCAGGAAGCGCAATGACAAGATGCCACTCTGCCCAACAGGCTGGCACAGATTTAAAAGTGAATACCCAGTATTGCTGAGGATGTGGGGAAAGGACCTGATGGGTGAGAGCATGACTCAGTGCAGTGTTTTGGGGGAGCAATTCGGCAACGTCTGTCAAGTTCTGGAATTGTCACATGTGCTTCCCTTTGATCTAAGAGTCTTTATTCTCTGCAATACCGGGGAGTACCCGGGTGTCACCTGTCCCTATTCTGATCCTATGCTAGAAGTTGGAATTCTACACTTGTCTCAAAAAGATTTGGGCTCCAGAGCTAGTGTGGTTTTCTCAGTGATGTGAAAGGGTCACCTCCTTGCAGTCAACTTTGTGAACAGGGCCATGTGGCCAGGTTGGGGAGAGGCTGGGAAGATGCTGGGGAGAGAATCCTGTTGTTTCACTTAGGACCCAAACTTGTATATCTGCAGTGGCATCTCTATTAGTTAGAAATTGTATCCAAGTGCAAGTAGCAGAGACCTGGAAAATAGTGGCTTAGATAAAAATAGAGGTTTGTTTTCTCAGGTCACAGAAGTCAGGGACTCCCAGGATAGTTCTAGCCCATCATCAAGAACCTACCACCCTTCTGTCTTTCTGCTCTGTCACATTCAGAGTTTGACTCCATCCTCAAGGTCACAGAATGGCCACTGGAGTGCCAGCCATCGTGTATATATTCCAGGGAAGAAGAAGAAGGAAGAAAACAAAAAGGGCACACACTGTTTTGGAGCTTTCCTGGGAAACCTGCCCAGCAACTTCTGCTCATATCTCCTCAGCCATCTTTATTGGCTTGGGAAGTGGGAAATGGAAATCTTTTGCCTGCTCACCTGGTTGCTTTGAGCAAGCTCTTGCTCAACATCCAATCCCTGTTTTCTTTTACCTTATTTGCGATATCGAGGGACAAGGAAGTCCTCTGATGCTTGCACTTGCTAAGCAAGTCAGCTTGATTTCTGAAACAAACACTTTAAAACAGGGGCTTTGCTAAGGTTTCTGGCTCTCCTACTTCATCGGGGACACACAGTGTGCCCTTGGGAAGAGGGTACAGGCCTTTGCTTAGGAACATTAGAACCTACTCACTGCAGGTGCTTGCTGAGATAAGGAAAGGCTATATTACACGCTAATGTCAGGTGGTATCATGCTGGGGGAGGGAAGAGATTTATGTATGAATTTTAGGCTGACTCTGGAAGCAAGGCCCTGAGACAAATACTTGTATATTTTTATGGAGGAGATTAGCTCCCAGGCATGGCCAGCTCCACCTGTAAGGAGAACTGGCTCCAGGAGCCCCAGGGTGTCCTCTGGGGAAAGTGCAAAATGAGTGGCTGCAGGAAAGCTGGGGAGGGCTGGAGAAGGGGGCCAGGCAGCTGCATTATGTGCCTTATTTACATTCGCAAACCCCCTGAGAGGTCAGATGGAGAAACTGAGGCTCAAGGAAGGAAAGTGACCTGTTGAAGGGTCAGATCTGGGACTCTAACCCAGACCTGAGTGTCACCAAAGACCCAGGTGGCTGCTAAAACTTATATTCCTCCCTTGCTTATTCAATGAACTGACAGGCATTTGCTGAATGCATCCTGCACACAAAGCCTGGGCCTCAGCCCTCTGGACAGTAGGCTGCCTGCTGCCTAGGTGCTCCTGGGTGCTCCTGGGCACTCTTGGGTGCTCCGGGGTACTCCTGGGTGCACCTGGGTCTCCTGGGTGCACATGGGTGCTCCGGGGTGCTCCTGGGTACTCCTGAGTGCTCCTGGTTGCTCTTGGGTACCCCTGGATGCTCCTGGGTGCTCTTGAGTACTACTGGATGCTCCTGGATGCTCCTGGATGCTCCTGGATGCTCTTGGGTACTCCTGGATGTTCTTGGATGTTCCTGGGTAATCCTGAGTGCTCCTGGGTGCTCCAGAGTGCTCCTGGGTGCACCTGGGTGCTTGGGTACTCCTGAGTGCACCTGGGTGCTGCCTGGGTGCTCCTGGTTACTCTTGGGTACTCCTGGATGCTCCTGGGCGCTCCTGGGTGTTCCTGAGTGCTCCGGGGTACTGCCTGGGTGCTCCTGGGCGCTATGGGATGCTCCTGAGTGCTTCTGGACGCTCTTGGATGCTCCTGGGTACTCCTGGGTGTTCCTGGATGCTCCTGGGTGCTCCTGGGTAATCCTGAGTGCTCCTGGATGCTCCTGGGTGCTCCTGGGTACTCCTGGGTGTTTCTGGATGCTCATGGGTGCTCCTGGGTGCTCCTGGATGCTTCTGGGTACTCCTGGATGCTCTTGGATGCTCCTGGGTACTCCTGGGTGTTCCTGGATGCTCCAGGGTGCTCCTGGGTAATCCTGAGTGTTCCTGGGTGTTCCTGAGTGCTCCTGGATGCTCCTGGGCGCTCCTGGGTGTTCCTGGGTGCTCCTGGGTGCTCCGGGGTACTGCCTGGGTGCTCCTGGGCGCTAGGAGGTGCTCCTGAGTGCTTCTGGATGCTCCTGGGTGCTCCTGGGTACTCCTGAGTGTTTCTGGGTGCTCCTGGGTGCTCCTGAGTGCTCCTGGATGCTCCTGGGAACTCCTGGGTGCTCTGGGGTGCTGCCTGGGTGCTTCCAGGTGTTACCGTCTCCCAGGCTGAGCCTCAGACTCTCCTGGTCATGTTCCCCTGTGATGTCACAGGAGCCAGGCAATCTATGATGTCATCAGAGGGGCTGGGTATGTCAAGTTGGAGCCTCCTGAGGAGTGGGCCCCAGTAGCACGGATGGTGGGACACTCAGGAGGGAGGTCCAGGCCAACATGGGCCCAAGAGGTCTGTGGTCTGACCCTGCCGTTAACCAGGCCGGGACCAGCCTGTCCTTGGAGTGAAGTAGGTGGCTCCCTGACACAGCCTGCAGTTCCAGGAGGTGCCTCTGGGAGCTGCGAGTTCTCACACCAAGGTGCGAGCTCGAGGGGCAGCTGCCTTGCACACAGGCCCCCCGGGGCTCAGAGCCCACACACACCAGCCTTACTGGGGTTTTACTGCTTCCTACCTGTGCAACCTTGGGCAAGTTAACGACTCTCTCTGGGCCTCCGTTTCCTTTCTATAAAGTGGGAGAAGGCATCATGGGAGGGAGGGGGGCAGGACTCTGAGTTATTGAGGTGGTGCCTGGCACAGAGCAAACACTCCACGGGGTTGAGGGTGACTGTACAAGCATGACGCGACTGTCTGGAAGTGGAGGGCCCTTCCTTCTGGCCTGTGGTGAGGGTCGCAGACAGCTCGGTGGACACTTCGTGCCCTGACTGTTCCCTCAGAGCCGGGCTCTCCTGCTTCCCGGGCCGCCACGTTCCCCCAGGCGGATGCATTCGCGGGGACGAGGCTCCGGCCTTCTCGCACATGACGACGGGTGATAACGCTGTTGGCCAGTGGCTTACATGGATGCCGCGCCGGAGAGAACTTTCCACACATTTTCTCACCCCCACCCCAACCGTCTTGCTCATTCACGCCCCCTGGGCCAGCCGTCCGGGTGGCTTTCAGGCCCTGCCATCGGTGCTGCCCACGGGCCCAGGCTGTGTGTTGGTGAGGGCCCCCCAGGAAAGGCATGGCGCCAAGTCCTGGGCCCGGCACACAGCAAGGGCCGCGAGCCGTGGTTGAGCAAAGCAGCGAATGAAGAAACACACATGTGAGTGAATGCTCTGCCCCGCAGGGGTCCTGGGCCTTCCCAAGGCCAATGACAAGCTCTTCTTGGGGGTTGTTCTGGGCAAGGTGCAGCCAGAGAGGAGACACACAGCAGCCCAGCACTGCCAAGGGTGGGGACAGGGGAACCCTGGACTCTTGGATGTGGGAGTAGTCTGGGGGGGAGGGGTGTTCATCAGGCTCTCATCCCTCCCCCCCACCAGGGCCTCTTCCTTTTCTGGCTTCCTGCCTAGAGCAGAGCTGCCCACGGCGGCCCACCCCACGGGCCCTTGAGGGGCCACAGGGGGGCTTCAGGGGCTCCCGGAGGACCTGGGAGGCCGTGTCAGGGACAAAAGTCAGTGCCGCAGTGATGGGAGACCCTCTGCCGGATGTGGGAGGGCTGTAGTGAGCAGGAGGGAGGTGCTCCCGGAGACCAGCGGCTCTCTTGATCCACCCCCAGGAGAGCACTGGACGGGAGTCTGGTGAGCATAGACTCCAAGTCAGACAGGCCCACTTGTCCCCTGTCGTGCTGTGACCTTGATGTCCTCCTCTGTGTAATGGGACGCACCAGGGCTAATACGTGGACCCCTCTGATTCCCGCAAACTTGACGGTGTGTCGGCAGTTCTCAGCCCTCTACTTTCGCTGAGCTCAGGGAGGCCTCCTGACAGGTGAGGCTGCAGACACACAGAGAGCAAAGTAACTGCCCGAGGTCACACAGCTACCAGGTGGCAGTGGCGGACACCGTTGATGCCCTGTCCCTTAACTCCCCCGCAGGACCCATCGCTTCTTGCCAAAGGCTGGGAGCACCTGTGACTGCTCCTCCGGGCCTTTCTCCAGCTGTGAGGGCAGGTGGGTTAGACCAGCTGGGGGCCTAGGGAGTTGCTGCTCAGCCAACAGGTTTGTGGGATCCGTGGACAGCTCCCCAGCTCGGCCCCTCTCTTGGGAGACATCCTCCATGCTCCCTCCCCAGGCTCCCCCGTGGACTGAGCCCCAGGGATGCAGGGGCTCACACAATGACAAGCACTTCATTGATTCCTTTGCTTCCCTGCCCTGCTTGTCCACTGTCCCGACCGCACCTCTCAAGCCAAGTCCTCGCCGTTGAGTCCTTGCCCCAGGGTCCGACTCTGGGACTCCGACCCGCCAGGTCAGGAGGTGGGCCCAGTGGGCTCCAGAACACACATTCTTCAGCACAACTGTGAGGCATCCCGTTGAGAGGGTGTGGCCTTCCCTGTGAGGCCGAGCCCCCAGGAACAGCGTGACACGAGGTAGAGGCTAGAGTTAGCTGGATGGGGTTTTGTCTGGGGTAGGAAGGCCCCCACTCTGGAAGGTCCCTCCTGGCTCCTGCCTTCCAAGACTCTTTACGTGGTTACAGGTGGCCTGATGAGTGTCATTTCAATGAGGATGAAATGTTTCAAGAGGATGTGGACCCAAGATTCCTGAGCCTCTGAGATCTTCCAAGGGGTCTTCCTTCTAGCGCCTCACCCTGTGCCTGCCTCATAGTATCCCTCACCGATGAAGGGCTTTGAGCCTCCACTTGCATACCTTCGGGGACAGGGGGCTCACCACTTACCTAGGCTACTTCTGTAATCATTTGAAAGCACGTCTCTCTACAGAGCTAATGCCGGCCACCCCGCTAGCCTGGCTTTGCCATCTAGAGAGCAGCCCTGCTGGGACGGAAGAGCAGAGGTCCAGGCAGGGTGACACTGGGGCTGTCACCGTCCTTTTTCAGCTCTTCGATTCCTGAGTTGCAGGCAGACAGACCAGGCCCGGCAATTCTTCGCTTCTTCCTCTTCCACCTCCTCAACATGAGCACAGTCTCTGCCCCTGAATGCACGAGGCAGATTTGCAGTGTTTACATGTCACGTGAATACAGTTATATAACTATCACGTGTGCGTGATTTTGAGGCTCATGAGTGCAGAGGTTTCAAGGTGAAAAGATTCTGTCTTTTTTTTTTTTTTTTCAGAAAAGATATTTGAACGTGGGACATTTTGGGAAGAGCGTGACAGGTGTAGGTGGTTCTGTTTCGGAAACCTGCCTTCCCTGGCTTCTAGGCTCAGCTGGACGGCTGCAGGATTAATCAGTTGCAAATCTGATCATTCTCTCCCCGCTCTGGGTTTAGAGCTCACGTTGCAAGCACAAGCCCACATTCCTGATGTGAGAGAGTGGGCTTATTCTCCGATGATGGGCACCCACGCTTCTAGAGGGTCCTTTAGAAACAGGCTCTGGAGAGACAGAGAGACCTCCCACGCGGAGCCAGTAGCCAATGGTCTGGCAGCAGAGCTGACTGCTAGCATCACCTGTCACAGCAGGGCCGGAGCCTGGAAGGAGAGCTGCACAGAAATCCGACAGCTCCTACTGGGGACGTTTGTTCTACTCTGGGCGAAAGCTTCCCGGAGGAAAGAACTTGTTTTATTTTTACTTCTGCTGCCATACAAAGTACGCACCTCTAAGTACACAGCTTGATGAACTCTTACCAGTGTGCAACCACCATCCTGACAGAGATACAACATTTCCAGCTCCTCGAGGGCCCCCCGCACCTCCTCCCAGCCAGGATTTGCCTCCAACAGCAGCCATTCCTCTCAGCCCTTTTCCCACAGATTAATTGTGCTTCTTTTTGAGCCTCATATGAGCAGAAGCATATGGAATGTGCTTTTTTGCGTCTGGCTTCTTCCCTGAGCAATTATGTCTGTGAGATGCACACGCGTTGTTGCACGTGGTAGTGAGCCGTGCTTTTTCGTTGCCATGTAACATTCCATTGGGTGAACACAGCGTCAGTTGTTGGTATGTTCTCCTGCTGATGGATATTTGGGTTGTTCTGAGTTTCACCTACTGTGAATAAGAACGTTAGGAGAAAGTGGCGTTTTCAGCTGAGTAGAGGTTAACTTGATGTCTGGAGGTAGCGGGGATAGGAAGGAACATTTGAGAAGGATGGAATGACACCTGCAAAGGCCTCTGGAGAGAGGGGTCCTACAGGCATGTGTGGCTGAAGAGGAGCCACTTCCTGGCATCACGTTTCCGGGAGATATCAACAACAGCGCCTGGGCCCCGAGCCTCTGCTCAACTGGCACAGTGCATGGCCCTCTGCGTCCCTTCCCACTCCTCATGTGCCTTCCTGGCCTGCAGAGGCTAGAACGCTAAAAGGCCGCATTTGCCAGGCTCCTTTGCAGCTAGGCTCTGGAAGTGGGTTAGGGTCCATCAAATAAACACAGCAAGTGAGATGAAGGGGGCAGAGGAAGGAAGGGCTGTCTTCTTGCTGCTTTGGCTGTGTTCTACTGTCCAGCAAGGCCACTGGGTCGTGGGATTCTCTGCAGCAGCATCCCAGGATCTGGTCTCGGGCTGCTGAGCTATGGGACAGAGCCCTGATCCCAGCTCTCTGCACCAAGGGAGATGTGCATGGTGCCTCCCACTGTCCCCCTGGTGGTGATGCAGGAGGCAGCGCCCTCCCACCCTGTAGACAGGTTCTGCAGGGATCTGGGAGCTCCCCCCTCCCTCCGGAGGCCTGGCGAAGGGCCTCTCGCCCAGCCTTCCCAGCGACTTCGTAAGTACCCATCACTATATGAAAGCCAGTGTGCTCCAAACACCTGGGGGGGTGGGGCATCTCACATCCATGGGGATGGCCCCTATAAAAAAATAACGCAGAAAATAACAAATGCAGGTGAGGATGCAGAGAAATCGGAACCCTTGGCATTGCTGGTGGGAATGTAAAACGGAGCAGCTGCTGTGGAACACAGTTGGTAGTTCCTCAAAAATTAAAAATAGACTCACCATATGATCCAGCAATCCCACTTCTGGGTCTGTATCTAAAGAATTGAGAGCAGGTTCTCGAAGAGATATTTGCACATCCCTGTTCATTGCAGCATTATTCACAGTAGCCAAGGGTGGAAGCAGCCCAAATGCCCATCGACAGGTGAATGGATAAACAAAATGTGGGGTGTGCACAGAATAAAGTATTATTCAGCCT